AATGCTGGACGTGAGTTTCCTTTGGTAATCACCATTTACACTGGGCCTTAAAGGCTATGGCATAAGTTCAACACCTTTCTATCAAGTACATAATTATTTTTTCATGCTGCCAACAGTACAACACACCAGTTGGGCTGAGAAATTCCCAGCTTCTTGCTGTATATGCATTATATTCATATTCAAACTTTTTAAACAGTGAGACAAATATAGTTATATTTACACTAGTTTTTCTTCTTCAATCCTATTGACTTTTCCTCCAGTGAAGATCCTTAATTTGCAACTTTTCCACTTCTTCCTGATAGTTAGAATGTAAGGAATTAGGATTGTTAGACCTGGAAGGACATATAAAATTGCAGGAAGATCAAATTAGTGCATTGAGTGGTACAAATTCCATTCTTCACTTCGGCAGCATTGGATGTAAGTTAATCTTAAAACATTTTAAGCCAGGCAGAACATTCACTACGTAATCTTAAAAGAAAAGGGTTTTGTGCAGGTTCCCAAGTCTGTTTTTATATTTGGTAACACAGAAATCTCTCTCCCTGCAGTTCTTACTCAAATTCCTTACCTCCATCATCGAACAGCCACCAAATGTCAATTGTGCCTTTTCCTTGCTTCTTTTTAAATTGAGTGCTGGCTTCTAGCAGCTTCTGATTGAATTCCCCCACGTGCATTGACTGTATTGTGTTAATGGTGCTCTCTGTAATGAGAAGGAAAAAATGTGGAAAAACTTCTGATGAGTGAGGCAATGAGTAGCTTTAGGGAGCCAAGTGGAGAGAAAGCTGCAGGAAAATGAACTGTTTCTGTCATAATTGCTACACTTTTAAATCTGAAAAAATTTACAGTGCAGGTGCTATGGACTTTTAATATACTAAAACACACAGAAACCAAAGCTTGTGTAATACTTTGTCACTAGATTATAACTTCTCGAAAATGGTTATCTGATTATTTGTTCTGTGGATCTTTTTAGGTAACTTAAAACTCACTGGGGCCTTAAAAAGTAATTGGGAAATATCTGATGGATATTAGCAGTAAAGGGCATCATTTTGTATCATTTACAAGCTGAGCTGTCTGTTGTGAAATATAGAACTCCCTGAAATGCACAGTGTAACAGCGGACAAAGACAGCTAATGGGGTACAGCGGGAGCACAGGTGGAGCTAAGACTGGAAGGCAGAAAACATAAGCAACTTCCCTATGCTTGAGAGGGTCGTCGACTGGAAGGCAGAAAACATAAGCATATATGGCAACTTCCCTATGCTTGAGAGGGTCGTTGTTAATTGAAAATAAACTTTGATTCTTGCTGTTTGCTTGGCTGGCTTTAGAAAGCACTGTCTTGCCTAGGTACTAACAATACCTTCTCTCGTTCCATCTTTTGAAGCCTGTGGCTTTATTACTGCTTCTCTTTCAATGATTTCAAAGAGACAGTGTCAGAGCAGTATTTTAGATGGAGCAGACAGGCTTCTTTAGAGGTTTTACTCTGATCTGCTAGGTTCTGAAAATGCTTTGTTTGGTTTTCTTGTCTTTCTAGAGTGTGGATGGGGTAGTTCTAAGGCAGTTATTGGCTTTCCTCTACCGTTCGAGCATCTATGCTGAAGATGCAACAGCTCTGGGGGGAGGATGAATGCATAAGCAAAATGGAGAGGCAGGGATATTTATTAACATCATCTATCTCATATATAGAGCCAAAGTGTGTAATATATATTTCCTTTATGTCTTTCTGAACTAAATCGAAAAGGGTAGTTGAAACAGGGGTGCACATTCTTGTGGTATTTGTTATAAAAATATATTCTACTGAAGCCTGCAAAATGAACTGAAGTCTGCCAAGTAAAGAATAATGACATTTTATGTTTTCAGTCTGTAGATCTTCTTGATACCTGTGGGAGTTGCACGCACAGCCAGATGTAATAGTCTCTGCAGGTGAAAATTCTGAAAATACTTGTCTGCGTGCAAGCATGGCTTCAGGTGGGTCATTATCATTACAGCCTAGCAATTGTGAAATGAGACCTTTAATTCTGTCTGGTTTTTCTGTATCATTTTACTATATTTGAAATGTAATTTTGATTTCATCACCTATACATTTATGTGTTAATTAGTTATTTGACAGCATGCCGTATATGTACTTTCAGTACTTTTACCACCTTAATTTCTACGTTTTAATGAAATTATGCTTATAATATAGAGCAGTAGTGCCATTTTTACCTGTTTTTCAGCTAGGTACTTGGGGTGCCTGTGTGTATGTTGAGTAAAGTGAGATTGCTTGTTCCCTGAATATTGTGCATATATATGTTCCTGTTTTCTTTAAAGAGGAGAAAAAAAGGCCTTTGTTTAAAAACTGAAAACACCCTATTAAAAAAACCCCAACCCAACAAAACAAAACCCAACTTGTTCTGTACGCCTCAAGCCTTAATAACTATGTGCTGAGCTAGGAAGCTCACCTAGCTGATGGTGGGGGGTGAAATAGTTGTGTTGTATTGAGGTAGTGTGCCCTACCAGCAGAAGATGGTCACTCTATTCTGCATTACATGGTTGTGGCCACCAAGACAGGTTTGCACCGGATGGGTCCTGTTCCAGGGGCTTCTGTGTGGCTCAGGAGTTTTGTCCTTGGAGTCAAAGTCCGGTTTGCATATTGGTGCTGTATTGACGGGTCAGGGAAAAGTTGTCATTGTGGAACTTACCCTTTTTTTTTTCATGTTTTGAGATATTGAGGATGCTGGCTTTCTTGAAGAATCCACAGATGCCGCTTTTTCCTTCTTCAAAATCATTTTCTTTAATGGTAGCTTCCAGTGCCAATCTCTCCTGCTCCAGCTTCTCTAATTCCTCTGTATATTGGGAATAGTAAGGGTATCGGTTACACATCACTTTCTATTTTAAATTAAATCACTTACTGATGGCGGTGATGTAATTGCTGTTTTGTACACAATATAAAGCTGCTCGGAGGAAGAATTCTCTTAAAATGCAAAATCCTTGCAAACCAATAGGGAGGAGGAAGCCGAATTAATCTCTGGAAGCCCTAACTTAGGGTGCCCACACCAATGGCAGTGGCATATACTGAAGTGCTACTCAGCTGCGCTCAGATTTCTTCTTCCAGATCAAATTAGTATTACTGTATTTTATAGTTATGTGAGATACTATTTATTGAGTTATGTTTGCAGATTTGTTTAGCTGGTTTCTTGCCCCAAGAATTTGAAAATACATTAGGAAAGCTGTTTTCCTAAAGTGAGAAAGCTGATGTGTTGAGTTCTAGCCTTTGGGTCCCTATTCTAAGAACAAAGTCTCATGGCTTTGGACTTTGAGATTCTCAGAAATATGTAAAGATCCTGAATATACAATCAGTTTCTATGCTGAAATATTTTTGATGTTTTAATTTTTTCAACAGTTGCTGCGAAGATGTAAGATTTAGCTAACCAGTTCTGTAAATTCAGTAATATAAAAGAACCATTTCTTCTTAGCAATATTAGACTTTTGCTGAGAAAAAGGTGCCATGTGTTATTGTGGATTATATATTATGGTGAGGCACTCATTAATATGTTACACGCATTTGCCTGCAGAAAGCTTTTTTCATAGGAAAACTTCTATTTGAGTAATACATAGACTAAAAGTGAGGTAAATTCATTTAAGACACTGTGTTTAAAACAAACAAACAAAAAAACACCAAACCCAAACCAAAAAACAACCCACCAACCCAAACTTTCACTAGCTAGACAGTGCTCTGTTGGCACTCTCACTTGCCAACAGAAAAGAATATAATTTCTTTTACTTTAGAATCCATGACATGGTGACAGTCACTAACTTAACGGTTACTCAAAACTAAATTTTCAGTTTCTCTGTTAAACAGAATGCTGTAGCAGGTATAATAAAATACAATCATCTCTTTCTTTCCACTACAGAGACTTTATCTGCTTCAAAACATTTCTGCGTATTTGAGGATTTTCCTCTTTTTTTTATTTTTTTCCCCTTGTGTTCCTAATTTTTTCTGATTCCTCGTGTCTTAACACTTGGAGAACATTTGCTAGTTTGTAAGAATGCAAAGTAGGTATTTGCTGTAATTTCATTAGTGTTCTAATGACTGTATCTTCTGAGCAATCATTTTCTGACTTAGAGCAAGCAAAGAGACAGGAAGATCTCTTTAATTTATCAGCAAGAGGGAGGAAAAAAGCATGATTAGTTTGGAATCTTTTTCTTAAGTCCCCGCAGTTTTGCCCTGTAGCACTCTCCATGCACATCAAGCTGCCAGAGTCTGCTGGGTGAATATTCATCTACCCTTGTTTCTTAAAGGAGTCTCTGGTGCCTTTTAATTCCGAGAGATTACTTGCTTTTGAGGGTTGCCTCATACTAGAATCTGTCCTCTTCAATGGGGAGTTAATTTTCATTTTAATTAGCTAAGGTACTCACGTCCTTTCTGGGTGTTCTCCCCAGCGCCAGTCTGTGTGTCTGGGAAACTGGGGAGAAGCTGGAGGCAGATTTACAGCAGGCGGCAGCAAAGAGTCGCTATTCTTTTCATGCCTGCCTACGTTCCTTGTCTATAGAATTTATCTAATTCATTTATAACACACAAGATTTCTCTGGTGAGGAGGACAAGGGACGCTAGGAGTAATGTCCAGGTTTAGGCTGTATCTGTCTGCTCAAATGGACAAACTTCAGAGACGTGGGAAAATTATACCGAAGACCTAGAGAATTGTTCCAATGGGATTTTTATATGGAGTCATTCCTTCCCCAGGGTACCTAAGGAATCAGTAAGACCTCTGTGTCCTAAAGATGAAAAGGAAAACCGAAGGCCACCGCTGTACGTGGCTCTTGGAAGCCCTTCGTTTAGGTGCAGCTGCCTGCATGCTCTGTCTCCCTCTACCTTTTCCACCCTGATGGCATGCGTCCGTGAAGGTATGTCCCTTTCCCCCTGAGATATGCACCACTAGCCTAAGGAAGAATGAACAAAAAGGTGAAAAAGAGAACTGGCGTTTCCTGTGGATTCCAAATTTTTGCATAGGTGGAAATTTCCTGGGCCCCAGTGTTCCATAGAGGTGGTACCAAAAGCGCAGCTTTCTGATTCCCGCCAGTCCCAGAGACCTCAGGTAGGCAGAAGGAGGAAGACATGCCAAGAGCAGGAAGGAAAAAGGCCACAGAGTGACTGGTTGCTGTGGCACAGCATGATTTTACTGCTTTAGTCTGTGCCTGTGCTGGAAGTGCTTTGGGAGTTGAGTTCTCTGGTGTGCAGAGCCCTTTAATGCGTGAGGCTTGGCCTCCTTCTGTCACTGCTGGTGCTTCAACAGGGATTTTGGGCAGGACTGCAACTGCAGAAGCAAGGAGGAACTGTAGAAGTTATGGGTGTAGGAACTAGTATAGAAACCACACAGTGACTCTAAGCATACCAGTCAAATTCTTTCTTGTGCTGAGTATGTAACCAGCATAGGTATTCAGCTATTGAGTCACCGCATACCTTGAACCTGGAGGACCTGAGATATATCAAATCCTTGGCTAATTCTGACGATAATCATGCCAAGCTCAAAATCAAAGGCATCACTGAAAAGAAAGAAAAAGAGGAATAAATATCCTTTCACATAATGCATATCAATGAGGAGAGCTACTTTGAGTAGATCAGTAAAAGCGTTAGTACTTGCAGGGAGATACTACTGCCATGTACTAGGCTGCTCTAGGTAAAATTGTGCAGGGAACTGCCCAAGGTTAAGTAAAGTACTATCAACTTTCTTCCCTCATTTCAATAAAGGGTATCATTGGGCTTGGGAACAGATAGGCTATTCCTGAAATGGGTCTTTCTGACAACGCTTTTTAGGAACTAGGTTGCATTGGGTAATTTTTTTCCTCCCTTCTCTGAGGAAAAAACAAAGCTGAGGTGGGTTTTGTTGTTCTTTTAACTCGCTTCAGTTTTACAAGTGAATTTTCAGCGAAAATCTGAGAAGCCTGTTTCTAAATGACTGTTTACTGGCTAAACCCCAACCCACAGAGCTGCTGAGCCTTAGGCACACATGAGATTTGAAGCAAGACTCTTCCTCTGTCTCCTAGGCTTAAAAGAAGAATTCCATGATGTACTCTTATTCCCTAAGTATGTACATTAGGGTTGTTTTTCTCTGAGCTCCTGCCCACTAAAAATGGGAAAATACAGTTCTGCAAAAGCACTGCTGACAGCTGTGCAGCTTCTTTATGTATAGCATTGTCAAGCCACATCAGCTCTGACAGTGCCAGATGTTTTCTAAGCAGATCTTGCTAGGTGTGTGAAGCCAAGGAGCCTTTTTTAATGGGCAGAAACTTCTGTTACGGAGCTAGCATGTATGAACCCAGATTTGTAGGTGTTTTCTTACGTTGTTTCTATGCGTCAAGTTCTGTATGGAAATGCTATATTAATCTAGTCTAAAAGGAGTAAAAAAAGGAGATGCTGAACTGTGACTTACTGTATAACGCCCACATAGTTTTCAACTTGCGCAGCAGTGGCATTTCTCCAGTCCTTCTTAAATCCAATCACCAAGGTATTTGGTTTCATTCTACCCAAGCCTGAGGCCTAACAATATTAAAACACTGCTTGAGAAGGTACACACACATGCTTTTGCTGTAAATGAAAAGTAATGGCAAAAGATAACTGAAGTAATGTTCTGGAGACACTTACAACTAGATTGCATTTCATGAATGTCCTTCCTGCTCATACCCATGCAGAAAGATTATCTCTAAATCATTCCAACTATAAATGATTTTAGATGACAGAAGTGTAGTTTCGCTAAATTAGCATTCATTTGCATTTCTTCTGACATGCTCTCATTAAAATGGTTCAATAACTTGGAATCAAGAGAGAGTTCAAGCACTGTTTGTATGCTCATTCTAACATAATAGCATAAAGCTTTTATCAGATTTGGAATACTCAATAGATTAACTGGGTCTGAAGTGTCTTAAAACACCTCAAATATGCAGAGAAGGCATATCCTCTTAAGAATAATTTTCTTTGCCTTGAACTTGGAAACTATTGCTGTTCTGTTTGCTGTATTCTTTCCAAAAGATTATCCAAAATTAGCTGAGCATACTTTGTAGATAAAATTACAATTTATAAACAGGAAGAACAAATTGTTTGTCAAGATATTAGATTGCCTGCATAACTGAGCATGGGTGCTAAAACCCAAACAAGTAAGGGTTGTCAGATCTAGATTCAACTAACCTAACTTTTATAGAAATCTAAATACTCAATGTCTTGGGAACCTTCAGGAGGAGACCCACAAATACACCGGCTTGTCAAGCTGTTACAGTTGCCAAATTTTACTACTAACAAAAAAGATAAACCTTTCTAAGATAAGAACCTTTCTAAGATTTTTTTTTTGAGTAGCACCAGTACATCTGCACTATTTATATTGAAGCGAATAATCGGTTGGCAAAGCAATGCAGAGGCCCTTAGGTTACAATAATGATGATGTGGTTATCCTTCTGTTTGCTGGAAGGGAATTATTTGTGGTCCAGTAGTTGACTTTGGTAATAGTGTTTAAGCAGTAATGGAAAGGATCATCAGACTGTAACAGTTCTCAAAAACATCAGAAAGATCTCCTACTGAGACAATGTATAAACCCAAGATGAAGTGTCATTGTGAGGCTTTGATAAAACAAAGGGATCTTTATTAATATTTCATCTTGCTCAGTTGTACTGTCCATTCAGCAAGTGTACAAAGAGCACTGGTAACCCACCAGTGGGTGACTGTTGCCCAGAGTATTTTGGTCAATTCCTTACTGTCTCAGTTTGCACTGATGTCTTTTCAGTGCATTTTATGCAGATGATGGGAATTTTCTCTACACTTTTTCTCTGTACCTGTATGTTTAAATATTCATATATGTGAGAGGGAGGAGGAGATGGGGAATATGAAAACAGTGCCTCTGTGCCTTCATTAAGGCCATTTTAAATGGACTGTTGGAAATGATTTGCTGTATTCTTACAGTAATAGAAAAATATTGCAGACTCTTGTTTAGATGGCCTCTCTGTTTGCAGGAAATGTATATTACAAATTTTCAGTTTTGAATTAATGCAAAAATATTCTCAGATATTTAATATGCTGTGTAATACCAAACAATAGAATTGAAGTGTATCAAGTGTTGGCTGCACAGACATTCATATGTTGCCCTGTAGATGCCTCTCTTTTTTTATAATAGTGTCTTAGTCATTTATGAGAGAATCAGTCTGCCTTGTCTCATAATTCCATAGCCCAGAACTAGATCTCTTTATGAAATAATCTGTAATGTAAATACATGTACCCCCAGAATGCCCTTTCTGCTTGTAACACTATCCATATATACGCAGGACTTCTTAACAAGTAAACAGTAATGCTTTACATAAAGGGATGCTTTCATGTTACACTCTTCTATGTGTTCTGTAAACAAAAAGCTTACCTGAAGTAGACTTTTGACTCCATCTCTGAAGCTGTCAGCTGCCACTGCTGCATAAAAGGCTTTTCTTTTGTTCTTTGTAAGCCAAGCCTGCTTTTTTGCCATGCCACTGTTCATCTCCTTAACACACAGCTTGCGTGGTCCCTGCATGATACAAGAAAATATTATTAAGAAGGCTTTGTATTATACATCACACGGTGATTTTGAAGGAGTTACCTGGTCTGCCATGGGAGTGAGTGGAGAAAGTCAGAAAAATACATTTCCAAAAAGGGTCTGCAGAGATTCAGCCCTTTGAAAAGAACTGTGCTGCTAACATAATTCACATTCTGTTCAAGAGGGCTGAGGCTGTTAATGCTACTTAAATACAGTGATTCTGACAGAAAGACAGACTACTATGGATTGTAACATCTTAGAAAAATACCTAAGGTATGATGAAGCATTTCAGAGTGAATAAAGTTCTTCCCTGACTTGACTACATAAACAAGTCTAAGCAGATCTAAATACACGTGGTTAAGCTCCTATCTATTAATAGTAAGAGGAAAGGGTTGTTGCCATACAATTAAAGATGCAAATGCTTTTGTCACCAGGTTCTTCCAGTGATCATCTGGTAATTTAATAAGACAAAATCCAGGTACATATCCAAATCACAAGATGTGATACACTGACTTGGCAGCAGAGAATGGGCAGTGGGTCCCCAAAAGATTAGGTCCAGGGAAGACATCAAGTCTGCAAGTGTGGCCTTTAGAAAGATTGAGATAAGTTTGGGAAGCATGTATCTGGAATTTAGTCAATTTTAAAAAATCTGTGCTCTTAAGTTTGAGTTTAAGGTTTGTTAGGCTGTGTTTATTCCCTTTCATGTTGTCTTTAGGAAGCTGAATCGATAGTCCAGACCTTCTGCAGTGACGATGAAACTCCGAGAGGACACTCAAGAGTCTCAGATACTGGTTTTAGTGTTATCGGGCTGGACAGGTAGCCTTTGCTTTCCAAGGCAGAATAGAAGAGCAGAACTGTAAACTGTGGGAGCGTGTCCAGCAACATCAGAGACAGAAGCAGTAATTAGATGTGCCAGAAGGATGGCGCTGACTTGGAAGCACTTGGAATCCAGTGAGTATTTCTGTGTGCTTAACTCCAGAAGTGTTACCAGTTTGGTTTGTTATAAACAGATAGTTTTCAACTTTAGTTTGCTGCAGAGTTTCATTTCATGCAGAACTCATTCCTTTATGCTTTTTAAAATTTCTAATGTTTTCGAGGATGCTAGCAAGGTGCAATTATGGTTGCAATGGTACAGATAATTAGAGAAATTGGTAGAAGTTTCTGATAATATAAAGCTCTGAAGGCTTGGTAAACTTGTGCTCAGGAGACTATATTTCAAAATTCATATTTAAATCTTTTGCCTTTAAAGTAAGTTAGTATAAGGTAGCTTATTTTGCTAAGCTGGGACACTGGTTAAAATAGAGCTGAGGGATATTTAGATTTATTTTTTTTTTTGTCTGTAGCAAATACTGTAAGTTCAAAATTTATTTCCCATTCAAGAACAGTGTAAAACCTGAACAGCAAGAAATTCTCTCCAAAATGAAATGTACGGGGAGGATCACTTAATTCAAAATTAATTTCTAAAAGTTGATTTTGAATGTAAACCCAAAGTGTACTTTCAAAACTTTTCAGCCTTAATGAAACTTTTTTTTTTCCTTCCTGGAAGAAAATGGGATGTACTATGTGTTTATGTAGATGTAGAAATAACTGCAATACTTTCAGTGAATTGGCATTGGCTGCTAGAAAAAGAGGGCTTCAAAATAAACTTTCCAGCTAGTTCCATCTAAAAACCAGAAAATAGCATTGAGAAAGAAGCTATGAAATAATGTGGCAGATTTCATGTCATGTTTTTATCTGTGCCTTTTTTGTTAGAATTATATATATATATATAAAATAGATGAGTAGGCTGGGTTGATGCTCGCTTAGGTGTAGTCCCTCATGTATGTTTCTGAACTTCTTATGGCTATTTGGGAAGTACAAGGAAAGGATGGGGAGATCATGCTACATTCTTTGGTGATAGTAAATTTACTGGAGTTTGTTTGGATGTAATGGGTGTAACTTCAGAACAGCTTGATCCTGGCTGTTGGAAGAGTAGTGTGAAGAGCTGGGAATAGCAAGTTGAACAATAAGGTTGAAGTTCCCTTGTAGGTAAGGAGAGGAGCAAAAAAAAATCTTACCTTTTTTCCCAGTCTCTCTAAGGAGCGTACCTGAGGATAGTTTCACAACTGGCTTGCACAATATGTTTCTGCTGGCCAAGGGGACAGTCCCACCCTTCTGTCAGATGACAGCCTATCTATGTACTTCCCTACTCCTCCTTTGTATCAGTGGTAATAATGTTTGTGCAATTGTACAAGAAGTCCAGTGAATTTGCAGACTGAATGAAGATTAACCTTGCAAAAATATTTCACGTGAAAGCAGGGAGTAAAAGCAGAATAGCCCTTTTTGCTAGAAACAGCCTGTTTAAGCCAACATGCTGCCATCATATCAGAGGCAAATAATTTTTAAATCATCTTTATGTTCGGTTGCCATATTTATTTTACCTGTCTCTGAACTATCTATCACCATGTTCCTGGAAAGTTCCTTGCTGCCCTTTGGGAAAAAGGAATGGAAGATGTTCTGTCTGGCATGGTGTCTCAAAACTTTATGCATAGCTAACAGCATGTCAGTTTTTGACGCAAAATATGTTGGGTGTTACATTTATGGCTAAATAGTCTCGCTGTATTTGTTATGATAAATATTGTAGGCTGCTCTTCAGCATCGTCCCTAGGAATTTTATCATCTGCTTTTCACCACAATTTTGAAAATCAAAAAGGTCGTTGTGTCACACTTTTATTACCAACCAAATTGAATTTAGCTTAAATTGCGGAAGAAATAATAATTTACAAAAAAAAAAAAAAAATCCTTACACTAGCAAAATAGACTTAGTTTTTCATATAGACAGGAATGAATTCTCAGTTTAGAAAGTATTAATATTAGAAAACCATGCCTAAGAATTCAGAAAACTTGCTGAAACTCAGCTTTCAGATCCTGAAACTGCGTAGTGTCAGGATCTCTGCATAATCTCAGGATCTTGTTGGGATTGATTCTACACTTACTGAATGCAGTGGAAAAGCTAACAATTACAGTAGAGAAGAATTAGGACCATTCACTCTTTATAGATTCATTTGATTTGGGAAGAATCACATGTAGATCTTCTGTACTCCCTTTCTGCATGTGGCAGCATCAAATGAATTATTCCAACACTCCTGTAGAGGAATACATTAACTTGCCTGGACTGACTCCATTAGTTAAATTCTGCAGCCCCATTTGGTGCCATGAGCTGTTCTTTTTTTTTCCCTCTCAAAATTAAAAGGTCGTTCTAATATTTAAAATGCATTTTCTCCTCTACAATACAAACCCATCTATTTTTGTTCTGTCCTAATGAGAGACTAGATCTTCATCCTTTAAGATACATAGTTTCCTGTGTATTTATAACTAGAAATATACTTTACTCCTCTCTTTAGTTCTCAAAAGAGCATGTTTAGCCTCCAAATTAGCATTGTTACAGTTTTGGAGAAACCACTGCAAAGAGAGCTGAATTACTTGCCAACCCCCAACACTGCAAATTGGTGACAAAGCTAAAGATAGGTCCTAGGTAATTTGACTCTTGCACTATAATCCTTCAAGGTTGTTTGTCTTGTGTTTTTTAAAGCCTTGCTGTGTCTATTAAAAAAAAAAAAAGACAAATAAAATCTGTCCTTGTAATGCATTATTTTTTTCAAACGATTTTTTGGTCTGTCTACTACGAACTCTGAAATGCATCTCAATGAGGCATTTACCAGCAGGCTCTGTATCAGCCGATAGCTTTCTTGTCAAGACTTATGACAAAATTCATTCTCAGTGCGAATCTCTTTCATGGTCTGCACAGATGCCCGTCAGCACCAATGGGAACATTGCGTGCTGAGTGAGAGTGGAATGTGTAATGGAGATCTGCAGCACCCACTGGTGCTGAATTTTCAGATTTATACGAGTTGACCTTACCGTGTACACTTCACAACAGATGCACAGCCCGTTGTTCTTTGTGAAAGTATGTGTGATGTCTAGCAGAGCAGGCCTGATCATAGGAGCTCCTGTTAGTGCTATGCACTGGGGTCTGTTAGGAGGCAAAAAGAGATTGTATTTAATTGGGTAACCTATTTATTCAGAATAAGCCATTCTACTGTTCACTGGGAATCTTACCTGAAGTTTTTCACATGGTCTTCCACTGTAGTTAATGCCAGAGCGCTGTCTAAGGCATTAATATAGTAAAGAGCCTGTGTAGAAGAGCCCCAGTTTACTTCTGCATATAATAAAGATAAATAATGCATGTTAAACCATGGGCTTTTCCCTGTGTTCTGTTGCAAAGGTCAGCAATCATGTTATCTGTGAGCCAAAGCAGGGTATAGTCTCTCATGCTTCATAAATACAGAGCTATTGTTCTTTGTGCTTCATAATAGAATAGGTTTTGCTTGTGTGATGCAAAAACAAACATGCAAATAAATCATCTTATTCTTTATATAAAAATTGTAGGTAATGTTCTTCCTCTACTTAAAAATTGTTTTCTTCTCTGTTCCATTAACTTAGTATCTTTCTTCCATGTATAAAATGGACAGTCCTGAGTCATGTATTTGCTGTGGAATGTCAGGAAGTTCAAATTAAACCATTAGGAAGGAACATTGCCTGCTCCAATTAGCTCTGTTCTACTATATAGGTCAAAAATTGTTCTCCAAAACCAATTCTGGCATATATATCATTTCTCATTATTGTGCAGCTGTTTAGGGGATGGAGACAGATAAGAAACAGCTTTCCACACTTTGAGATCTACATGAGTGCAGATCAAGTCCCATTACACCAAGATACAAAGCTAATACTTAGTGCAACTAAGTGGAGGTTTGCGTAGACATCATTTTTTCTAAGGAATATTTGTCTTTTTGGAACCCTTCTGTTGCTGGTAAATAAGTGCTGAACAAAAGTAATTCTTTTAGAGAGCAGGAGATAGCTAGCTTTAGTACAGTCTCTTCAGTGACTTTAACCAAGCTTTAAGCTGGTACTTTGCAGCAAGGGTGCTGGCAATATACTAGGAATGGGTAGAAATCATACAATCATAGAATGGTTTGGGTTGGACCCAAAAGACCTTAAAGATCATTTAGTTCCCCCCCCCCCTGCCATGGGCGGGAACACCTCCCACTAGACCAGGTTGCTCAAAGCCCCATCCAGCCTGGCCTTGATCACCTCCAGGGATGGGGCAGCCACAGCTTCTCTGGGCAACCTGGGCCAGTGTCTCACCGCCTCACAGTTAAGTATTTTTTCCGTATGTCTAATCTAAATCTACCCTCTTTCAGTTTAGAACTTTTACCGCTCGTCCTATCACTACACCCCCTGATAAAGAGTCCCTCCCCATCTTTCCTGTAGGCCCCATCTTTCCTGTAGGCCCCCTTTAGGTACTGGAAGGCTGCTATGATCATCAAATGCTTTTGACAACTGTCTTGTAACAGGTGCGGTCTCCTACAGCTGATGATATTTACAGGATGAGAACCACAGACCATCCCAATGGGTATGAGAGCACAGATAGGGAGGACACACAATAGTGCAGCAATATACACAGAACAGAATATCACGACCTCAGACCAGGTGTTATTATTCCAAACTAGCTGCAATGAAAGCATATGTTCTGATGGGAAGCTCGCCTCTCTTATTTGAATTATTTTTTTCTCCTGCAGACATAATTCAGCTGGTTAGCACTGAAATCTGGACCTGGGTTAGTTTTGTCCTGGATATGAATAACCAGGTTGTGCAGTCTCATACTGGTGCTGTATTGTATTGGCATACAGATTTCTGAGGACAGCTCTTGTTATTTGCTGAGCTACTAAGCAGTTTTTTCCAGCAGTAAAGTGTGCCCATCTTTCTTGATTTACTGAGGAATCGTAGGGAGGTGCTGAAGGATGATCAGTTCATGAGCAATGAAGCTTGCATTTTTGTTGTATAATGGCCAGCAAGTTTAGATTTTGAGTGAGGACCCCAGATGAGCCAGCTAAGGGGACAGCAAAATTCAGATAAGGTTTTGTGTGTGTATGGAAAAAAAAAAAGAAAGAATGATACTCAAGTAAAAGCCCAAATGTAGTAAAGATGTGGTGGGAATAAACTGGTGTGCTGGAATGTCTACATAAAGTCCTGAACAGTCCTTGAAGTGCTTGCTAAACAGGCAAAAATTCATCAGACTATCATCTTAATCTATATTGTATAAGATGGGATTTAATGGGATGCTCGTAACTTCCCTCTGAAGAAAGGTGTCAGAGAAAAAGTAATATCTAATTCTGTAAGCAGAATTAATTCTTGTAAAATCCAGTCTGGCTGCAATACATAAGTGCAAAATAATAGTGTTTTGTGACCTTACCTGGTTTCTTATATGTTACATAAATATATAGAAAGAGCTCAATGGCATAAGTGATGAGAGCTGCCCACCAGTTGATGACAAACATGACACCACAGCACAACAGGGCTCCAAAAAGTGACACCCACATGTTATAATATCTGAACGCAGGTCTCCAGCCTGTTTAAAGAGAATTGAGGAAATTGGAACAGCATAAAATATATTGATTAAATGGGGATCCACTGATTTTTGCGTATACAAACTTGTGCAATTTGTTTCAGGCTCTCTCGGAAGGGGTGGGAGTGAAATGTGGAAATTCTCAGGCATCATGAGTATCAACAGATACTTTCAGGTGTTGGCTGATGTAGATTTCTATATGTATAGAGTACTAGGTCTTACAGGCCTTTTACTATAAACCCTTTCCTACTGCTTTGAGCAGCCATTCTGTTTATATGTATTTTTGCCGAATTAAAGCTCATGGTTCAGAACTGAAAATAGATTTTCCTGTAACTCCAGGTAATTGGCTACTGCGTCCTTTTGATGCATATGCATAGAACTTATTAATGGGAGCTAAACACTTGCTGAGAGGAGAGTTTATCCCAATGCTGTAAGTGCACCTGTCTTAAACTTGGAAATTGCCTGGCCTCACTGCAGAAAAATAAAATAATTTGCAATTGACTTTAAAAAGATATTATTCCTGCTGCTTTTCAGCTGCAGTACTGAATCCATCCCCTGCTAGCAATTAAAATGATGAGGCAAGCAGCGAGCCTCCATGGTCTGCAGGTCTCTGCCAGGTGTTCCACAGAGCAGACTCTTTGGAGAGGCGAAAAGCACAGAAGATGCAAGGAGAGCCTGAGCAACCCTATCTTGGATCATCTTTGTAATGAGGGAATGGGAAGGTCTTGCTGTGAAGAAATTTGCTGTCCTGCAGTCTTGCAATTATTATAATCTATCACTGTGATTTGGCAGAAATTAACTGGAGGAAATGAGAAGAGAAAAATGGCTGCAGTTTTGTCTGAAATGTTAAGCAGTGGCGGAGTCAGATGCACACACATGAAGTCTATAGAGGTCATTTTTACTCAGCTCCAAGGCCATGTAGAGCAGATCTGCATTTGTTCGGCTGTGCAGGTAATTAGCAGAAGCGCTCATCTTTTCTGCCCTCTGAACAAATGGCACCATGCAGATCTATAGGAAGGAAGTTGATGTAGGCATTTATGTCACTACTGCAGTTTCTTCACACTGGAAATCAAAAATGTATTCCTTGCTCCTTGAATTGAATAATTGATTCACAGCGCCAGGAAATTGTCTTTCTTGTGTGCCAAAACCAGTGTTGCTCAGCTGATTAACTTTAGTCCTTAAGGTGTCACCCTTTCATTCATGAAGATGATGGGAATTATTCTGCTGTGGCGATGCACAAGCCTGAAAGCCAGCATGTTCTTTTGCTGCACAAATGTTGAGAGGGGCTCTCAAGTTACCCTTGAACAGGACCTCATTGCGCTTCACCCTAAAATTCTGCTACTAGCCACTGCAGAGCTGTGCTGATGCTGTTTGGTGGACCGCTTCTATCACTTCTAGCACAATTACGAACTTTCCTGTAAATGACACTGTAGAGTTGGAGGAGAAGGGCATAACGGCTCCCTGCTATACCTTGCTTACTTTATGTGGCTAGGATTGGCATAGGATTTTATCCACCCATGTTTTGTGACAGTGAGGGGGGAAAAAAAAACACCCTGAGGAGGAGATTTTCTGCTCCAGTGGGATCCACCAAAGTCTTTTTCATCCTGTACAGCTGAAGGGAATGTAAGGACTAGAGCCATTGCTTTTCTCTTTTAGAGATAAATAAAATGTCACCATATTCAATGAGAGCAGTAAAACCTCAGATCACATAGCTTATCTATTTTACTGGTACTGCAGCTTTCTCTGACATACAGTCAAAAACTTGCAGAGATCGGATGTTAAAGCCCACATTTAAATCACTGGCAAATGCAGACTCACCTGGAGATTTTGCGTATGAGGCATGAAAGCAGGAGAAATTAATCAAAGCGTATGAAGCCAGGAAGAAATTGGAGATGATGGGAGCGATGGTGTTCAGTTCAGCTGCAAGACACACGTGCACAAGTCAGACATAGGCACCAGTTTCCTAGGTTGCTGGATAGCTTTTCCCTGACAATGCGTTAAATCTGGATACTATCTGAATTTGTTGTCCAGGGAGAGCTTGGGTATTTTCCTGTGGTACTAATTTAAGGCCACCTTGTATACCTTCGTTCATATCAAGTAGTGTCTATGCAAGCTTATACTTGATACTCTGATTCTGCAGACTGGCTTTTAATGGTGTAGATCTGGTGTAAATTTCAGAATTTTAAACATATAATTGAGAGGACAGATGCGTTTCACAAAAGACTTATAGTTAAAACTGTTTTGTTTTTTAAATGGCAACCTGAATTCTCTCTACTAAACTTCCCATTCGCTTAGTGTCACACAGTTTGAATTTCAAATCTTGGAAAAACTAATTTAAAAATCCCCACACCCCTAAATACGCTAGCTGGGATTTTCTACCACCAGTGCTGGCAAACTGGGATTTGCTTTGGAGCTGAGTGTGGGGAAGGCTTGGCAGAGTAGGCTTCCTAATTATCTCCGAATTACCTCAGAGCTATGTGCACTAAAACTGAAAAACATTTTCGAAGTTGTTGACTTTGCCTTATTTGATACGGTTCTAAGCACTGCCCTCTTCCAGCAGAGTGAACAGGAATTGCACCCGCTCTGCATCTTTGCAAATGAGGCTGTGGTGACGCTGAGATGTTACTAAAGCCCCTGAGGGTTTCTTTTTGTCTTCTTTAAGAATATTGGAATTGCTGCCGGGGCTTTGAGTGTGCTTGGGCTTATGTCAGAGCTTACCTGACTGGAAAGTTTTCTCACCATAATCAGTGTATTAAAATATCAGTTTATATAATTTCAAAACATGAGATTGTAGCAGTTGTGTAACGATATACAAACCAATCAAAATGAATGCCATAGCAATCACGAAAGTGAGAACATATCCCCTGATGGGTTCGTTGTTTTTTCCGTATCCTTTGGCAAAGAAGTGGAGCCCTTTGTAGACGTTGTCCTTGCAAAGAGCCTGGTGGAAAAAACAGAACTTAATTCTGTTAAGCAGTGCTTTCTTGCATCAGAATTTCACAGCTTGCTAGGCTTTTGCTAAGCAAAAATTAAGTCTGTCTTAGTACTTCAAGTACATCTACTGCTATGGCACGTAAATGTTCAAATAAGGTGATGAGTCAACATCCTACTGTATTACTGTAGAGTGGGAGAACAGCATCGCAGCCATTTAATACTTATTCAGTGCTTTAAAAAAAGATTAACCGAATAGCTAAATACAGTGTAAACTGGAGGAAAGTGAAGCACTAATCAGTGTCTCACTGTAAGTTGTACAGGTTATCTTTCTGTGCTATGGCCTTTGTTCCCATTCTGTCCAAGTTGCTGCTGCCCACACAGCTTCTGGACAGCCTGTTTGAGCGCACCTGCCTGCACCTGAATCTTAGGGTCCTGAGGGCTCCTGCGTATTCCTGGCACTCCTGTGCTGACAGGGTGGCTTTCTGTAACAAGATAGAAGTGGTCCTGAAAGTAGTCCTGAAGCTTTTCATGACAAGCACATGTGTATCCCCTGCTCCTGCAGCAAAGCTGAGCTCTGACCAAAGGAACATTATCACCCTTGTATGAGGGTGATAAGACCTGCATATTTCTGTTGATAAACATTCCACATACTGTTTTCCTTGCCTTTTCCTCTCACACGTTTAAATATATATCACATTTGGCACATAGAGTTCAACTAAATTTTATGTCTTTAAAGTAAAACAGAGTATAAGGAAATAAATAATTTCATTTTACCTGGAAAACTTTGGGTGCGCTGACAAGAGATGCTAGAGCTGATGACAGAGTAGCAGAAAAGATGCCAGCTGTGATGAGAGGACCAAAGCCAGACACCATGCTCATCACCTTTAAGAAAGAAAAAAAAAAAAAAAGGAGGAAAAAAGATCAGTCAGGCTTGCATTTGGATGCACTTTTTGATCACAGACCTATTTAAGTACTCTGTTTCTACGTGTCTCTGCTTTTCACAGTTCTAAATTCAATATACTACAAACCAACTGTGAAGTAGGGAGATACTATTATTCCTGTTTTAGTAAAATGCAATGGAGGCATAGCCAAGTTTTTATACAAGTATGCAACTGTCTGCTAAGACAGACGAGTACTCCATGAGATTTCTCACCTTGTTTACTAACTGGTTGCTATGAATAACGGCCTCTACGTGATGAGTAAATACTCAGCTTGTAGCAAGAAAAGAAAATGGAAACAGCAGGGAAAAGTACCAAAGCACAAACTGTGGTTGGAGGCACTGTCTTTGGTTTGGGTTGTTGGGGTTTTTTTTCTTAATTATTTAGTTTGGCTAAAAATGAGAGAGAGAATGCCTGCTTGTGCTGGCATAGCAGCAGTGCTGCAAACAGTAATGATGGCTACTGCCAGGCCTCCCTCAGCCCTCCCAAAGGGCTGTGCTGGCCTCTGCGCCCACCGAAGCAAAAGGGCTGTTGAGAAGCACCAGATAAGGCTGCTAAGAGATGAAGGGGCCGGATGCAATTGCCAGATACTTTTTGGTATGTAGGAAGTACTCCAGGAGAGAAACCAGTTAATTCTGGAGATGTGTCAGATAAAGACCTATATTTTTTTTTCTTACTTTAGTCTGGCAAAGATAAATGCAAGAAGTAAAACTGTTTATGGCTGTAGAGAGGTCACTGATTTTAAGGGTTGCCGTGGGTCTGGGCAGCTGAACTGAGGTGGGAGTGAGGATGGGAAATGATCAAGAAAGGAAGGAAAAGTAGTCTGTGGCAGGAACAGCATATTTCTTTTAAGGTGGTTACACAGCCCTGTCATTTAGCAGAGCCAGCTGGGAACAAAGGAAGTGACTTTGACAGCTACAAATGAAAAAGCAAGTGCAGGTGGGTGGTGAGCTCCTCTCGCAGGCTGTGAGGCACTGGGGCTGAATGGACATCTGGGAGCCATGGTTGTCAGGCTGCAGAAAAACTGCTTTACTTTGATGCTTTGCCTAAGCTTTATTTTGAAGAATAAAAATGGCAGGTGGTCTCTTTCTGGCCTAGGAGACCATTACTTCTCACTTGATTTTTCACTCGACTCTTTTTGGACTTTTTTTTTTTTTTTTTAAGAAGTGAGAACTCTGGTTTTTGTACCACGGCACAAACCTTTAGCAGTGACCACAGCATCCCTGAGGTAAAATCACATTCGTGTGTAAAGAGCAATGAGATAAGTTGCTCATCTGACAGGAGTTCCTGAGGTTTCTGTTAAGTCTAGATTTTGAGTTTGAAGATGTTACAGCATATACTGCTCCATGGTACTTGTTGAAAGAGGAAGTAAAGACCTTACCAGAGTGCTGGGAAAGCTAGTGATGGACAGTATGAAGGTAATGTGGAATGCAGGGGACTTTTCCCTTTGATTATTCCTACAGCTTTTTACTTTTTTTAGATAAATGTGGGTGTCCTGTTGCAGTTAGTTGTCAGCAAATAAAGGTTTTGCATGTTTGTACTTATCTAGTCATATATTGCTTATGATAATACTTATTATCTCATTAAGACCTGAAAATTATTCATCAGCCCATAATCACATGGCTGACTTGCACATCTGGAAAAATCATAGCCTAGACTGCAGGCAGATGATCCGTTGCAGCTCATTCCAGGTACAACTGTATCATTGATGCTCCCAGTAGCATCTCGTACAACACAGGAGGCTGTGGAAACAATATTATGTTATTATTTTCTTTCCTTGTGACATTGAAGAATGTTCTTGCCACACTTTGACTCTTAGTCTGCACAGATTTTGTACAAGTGATGCCTTAGTCTCATCCCAAAGAACAATGTTTCATGTTGGGCAGAGATTACTTCCCCATATTGTGGCTTAGTTTCTCATGTTTTCCGCAAAAAAATATTTACTTCTGTTACTTTAAAAAAAATCAGCCAGTTGACTAACAAGGACTAGCATCTTTCCGAGAGTAGAGAAACAGAAACAGGGTCTTAGGTCTAGGCATACACTTTTTTTTTGTTTAACAAGGACACACAATTGCTCTAGAAGCCCAGATCCTCAGCTGTTCAAATTGTCATAGCCCTACTTATATCAATATGATGAGAAAAACTTTAAACAGGAGAAATTACCTATATTCTTTTTATTTTTATTACTATTTATGCTGTCTTTTCTTGTTTCCCACCAGAAAGGGGAAGAAACATGGAGTTAACTTACAGTGCTGATCTCAACATCTTTAGCAGCCAAAATGTAAGTTTATACGGTATCTTCAAATATATGAAAAACATTACTATTGAGAGTCCCAAAGTAACCATTATCTATTTAGCAAACCAATATGCAAATAGAAAAAAAAATTGCACTGACAAGTAGACAGCTGTAAAGTTGAAATACAGCTATTGCTTGTGAGAACAGAATAATGCCTTAACACAGATTTATAATAGAAAGTGAAGAATGGATACTTCAATTTTAATTGCAGGGGAAGTTAAGATCCAAATAATGCAATAACTTGAGCTGCAGCTTGAATCAAGTATTCTGCCTTTTGCATAAAGTACAAGAACCAGAGAAGTCAAGAAGGTTCTTGAGATTCATCTCCCAGAAAAGGGAGTACCCCACAGGGATTTCATGCAGTATTGAGGTATTTGCTCATAAGGAAGAGTGTTGTTTTTTCTTGAACAGAGATTTACTGTACACTTGTAATGAGAATTTAATTGCATATTCCTCCAACACAGGTCATGGCTTCGGTGCAGGTCTCCTTTTTACTCTTGTGTCAATTTTGTTACCTCATGTTCCAATATCGTAGAGCACCTAGTTACTTAGTGCATCTTCTTTAAGACAGGAAATTGATTTCTGTCTTTGACATATAACATACAAAAATATGTGTTACCCTGTTACTCGTGAGTGCTCAGTAAGACTAGTGAGAGCAAGTAGAAGCCATGTGAAATTTCAATGTGAATGAGGAACAAAAGATCAGCAGATTGATCAGAGGTTCCTTTAATCTTTACTATGCTCATGGATACTATAAGCTAGTGCTCTTTGTCACTGAATAATCAAATGCAAAAGTAACCATGCAAGTTATACAAAAATCCAGATGCCAAACAGGGACTTTTGTTTCTGCTGACTGCTGCTTTTTTTCCCCACTGTTTTTACATACAGTAAAATCAAACCAAAACAACTATCTCTCTATGTAATAAATCCACAGGATGAAAAAGCAATGAGGTTAATGATTCGTTTGCATACCAGGCTTTCAAACTTTTTTAACTGTATAAATTGAGACATAAGGCAGAGGTTCTGTACTTACCTACACATACAGCAACACCAATGTAAGCAATTGTTGTAACCAGAATGGCCAGCATCGTTCCTTTGGGTATCGCACTTTGTGGATCCTTAAAACAAAGCAGTGACCCAAAAAACACTGTGAGTTCACATGCTACGCTCTGCTTGCATTTTCATGCTAGGGAGTCCTGCCACATTGTGATATGAAGATACCTTTAGGGGGTAGATTTTTATCATTTAGACCTGCACCAACATTTCCTGTCCCAGCATGTAGATAGTGAAGCAGTCCTGCAGTGCAGTGCTACTATCCTGATATCCGTAGTGAAGAATATTCTGCAGGGAGCAGAGGTCACTTTTATAGCACCAGGAGAGTCTTGAGCTCCTCATTTCTGGGAGCTCCAAACTCTCTTTACATTGCAATGGGCTTTATTTTAATGTTTAATGATGCACTGGGTAAAGAGTTACTGAACTAACCATCAAACTCCTGTGGATGATGAGACTGGACCATTTTTGATTAATTGGTAGGATAGATGCAGATAGTCACCCTGTTGTGATTAGCAACTAATAATTGTTAATTGTGTCTTGACAACAGGCTACTTCCTTTCACTGTTTTTACTTTTAATTTAGATAATTTTGCAAGGCTGGGTTATAATGCGTACAGACTGGCTCACAACAATATCAACTTTGATCATGCAACTATACAAGTTCAAAGATCTGCATTATACGTTGTAATTTTAAAGGGGATTTTAATACTAGCCAACATGTGTTGGTTTATGCTAGGAAGCACTCTATGAATTGTCTTCTTAAGTTGGTTTAGTGACATTTTTAAAGTCAAAGATGTGTGGAATACACTTTAAGCCACAGACTTTTATACTTTTACAATATGCTTGTTGCCTGGGAAAAAAAACCCAAAATATAGATTTGGAGCATTGTGTGAAACATGGACAAATTACTTAACTATGTTAATAATTAATTTAATTTTTAAATGAGGCAAGGATTTATTGAGCTGAGAAATAACTGCAAAGTCACTTCAGCTGCGTAAGACCCGTTGTCCTCAGATCATGGTAACTTTAATTTATACAGGTCTGATGTGCACATCTTGGGTCACTGTTTTTGTGGAGTCTCATGCTGCAGTCTTAAACACTGTGTAACCTTAAATCTTAGGATTAAAGCTTCTTACAGCTTTACAACTTTTAAATTTTGTCAGTAATTAAAGTCATATTTCTATATACTTAAAGAAACCCTTCCTGTTGGCCTTGACATCCCTCGCCAGGTTCAATTCCAAGGCTGCCTTGGCTTTCCTTGTTTCCTCCCTGCATACCCTGACAGCATTCTTGTATTCCTCCCAAGCAGTCAGCCCCTTCTTCCACCTATTGTAAACTCCCTTCTTCCACCTGAACTCCCTTCTTCCACCTGAGGAAGAGCTCTATCGTAGAGCACCTAGTTACTTAGTGCATCTTCTTTAAGACAGGAAATTGATTTCTGTCTTTGACATATAACATACAAAAATATGTGTTACCCTGTTACTCGTGAGTGCTCAGTAAGACTAGTGAGAGCAAGTAGAAGCCATGTGAAATTTCAATGTGAATGAGGAACAAAAGATCAGCAGATTGATCAGAGGTTCCTTTAATCTTTACTATGCTCATGGATACTATAAGCTAGTGCTCTTTGTCACTGAATAATCAAATGCAAAAGTAACCATGCAAGTTATACAAAAATCCAGATGCCAAACAGGGACTTTTGTTTCTGCTGACTGCTGCTTTTTTCCCCCACTGTTTTTACATACAGTAAAATCAAACCAAAACAACTATCTCTCTATGTAATAAATCCACAGGATGAAAAAGCAATGAGGTTAATGATTCGTTTGCATACCAGGCTTTCAAACTTTTTTAACTGTATAAATTGAGACATAAGGCAGAGGTTCTGTACTTACCTACACATACAGCAACACCAATGTAAGCAATTGTTGTAACCAGAATGGCCAGCATCGTTCCTTTGGGTATCGCACTTTGTGGATCCTTAAAACAAAGCAGTGACCCAAAAAACACTGTGAGTTCACATGCTACGCTCTGCTTGCATTTTCATGCTAGGGAGTCCTGCCACATTGTGATATGAAGATACCTTTAGGGGGTAGATTTTTATCATTTAGACCTGCACCAACATTTCCTGTCCCAGCATGTAGATAGTGAAGCAGTCCTGCAGTGCAGTGCTACTATCCTGATATCCGTAGTGAAGAATATTCTGCAGGGAGCAGAGGTCACTTTTATAGCACCAGGAGAGTCTTGAGCTCCTCATTTCTGGGAGCTCCAAACTCTCTTTACATTGCAATGGGCTTTATTTTAATGTTTAATGATGCACTGGGTAAAGAGTTACTGAACTAACCATCAAACTCCTGTGGATGATGAGACTGGACCATTTTTGATTAATTGGTAGGATAGATGCAGATAGTCACCCTGTTGTGATTAGCAACTAATAATTGTTAATTGTGTCTTGACAACAGGCTACTTCCTTTCACTGTTTTTACTTTTAATTTAGATAATTTTGCAAGGCTGGGTTATAATGCGTACAGACTGGCTCACAACAATATCAACTTTGATCATGCAACTATACAAGTTCAAAGATCTGCATTATACGTTGTAATTTTAAAGGGGATTTTAATACTAGCCAACATGTGTTGGTTTATGCTAGGAAGCACTCTATGAATTGTCTTCTTAAGTTGGTTTAGTGACATTTTTAAAGTCAAAGATGTGTGGAATACACTTTAAGCCACAGACTTTTATACTTTTACAATATGCTTGTTGCCTGGGAAAAAAAACCCAAAATATAGATTTGGAGCATTGTGTGAAACATGGACAAATTACTTAACTATGTTAATAATTAATTTAATTTTTAAATGAGGCAAGGATTTATTGAGCTGAGAAATAACTGCAAAGTCACTTCAGCTGCGTAAGACCCGTTGTCCTCAGATCATGGTAACTTTAATTTATACAGGTCTGATGTGCACATCTTGGGTCACTGTTTTTGTGGAGTCTCATGCTGCAGTCTTAAACACTGTGTAACCTTAAATCTTAGGATTAAAGCTTCTTACAGCTTTACAACTTTTAAATTTTGTCAGTAATTAAAGTCATATTTAATATGATGTTAGTACTTTAGGGCCTGCTCCAAAACCCACTGAAGTCACCAGGAAGACCAGCTCTTTCTGTAAGTAGGCTTTGAACTAGGCCACTACTGTGTACCGGCTACAGAAGCACGTACATAGGTATTTGCAACAAATTCTGAAGAAAGTTTGATTAGTCAATTTCATACTTTTTAAGTACTTCCTAGCTCGTCTTTAGATGTCTGGAGAGGCTGGTTAATTTAATTAGACCTGTCTAATACATCTAAACATGCTCAGTGGGGAATCTGCCTGAAGGACTTGGTTGTAGAAATCCACTTATTGCCAGACTGAAACAACCACAGAGAGCCAACAGGAGAACCGCTTCCCTTGGTCGGCTCAGACTCCTTCAAATAGCTTATGAAAGGAGTGCTGCTGCTTTGGGAGCCTGCCATGTATAGAGCACACCATATATGGCCAAAGAATTATTTTTGTTTGATAAAAAGATGGAGATTGTGTGAGGCTGGTTCAGTCTCAGTGGGCAGAAGTACAATGATTTTTGGTTTTTTTGATTAAAAATGGAATCTCATAGATGCTATTAGTGGCTCAGTTGCTACTTATTTCTCTCTGTGCTTGGCTTCAAAAGTAGGCCTCTGGAAACAAAGGAGATGAGGCATGCAATTCAGTGTGAGGGAGGGAAACGGAACTGGCTGTCAGGGTTGGTAGGATCTTGGGAACTTGTGACTACTGTGCCAACACAGAAATAACAGACCTTTGGTTGAATTGCTAAGGTATACAAGACAATGGGTCTATATGATAAAGCTATATGGTAAATAACTTCATCTGACATGCTGGAGTTATCAAGGTGTGAGCCACATGTTTTTGGTGACTTTTTTTTTTTAATTTGGGGTGGTGGTGCGGCTTTCTTGGGCTTTTTGTTATTATTGTTGGTTTAGTATTAGATTGCAAGATCTGAGTTATGGATACCCCTGATGCATTTCTGAATTTCTTGTAATATTACAAAATATTGCATTGCTCCACATTTACTAGAGATGTTTTACTGAATGCTTTGCTGAGCTTTGAATTACTTCATCTTTATGTTTAGCTTTAAACGCTCTTTGCATTAAATACACTGTGCAAAGTCATGAAAACTAGAGGGCATTCAAAGTTAAAACTGAATTCCTGTCTCTAATTTACCGGTATGTTTAGATACTGGTAATCTCATCTCGTACAACTGCTATAGTGCAAGAGGAGAGTGAGGACCTGACAGAATGGCCACAGCAAGACAACTGGGCACCCTTGGACCTCCTTTCCCTTTCTCTTCACACTCCTTGCTTCTGCAGCTTTTCCTTTGAGCAGCAGTACTGACATGGGATTGAGACATACTTGCTTTCATTAAATTCTGTTTGCTTGCTATGACCCTGAATACAAAAAGCTGGTCTCCACTGATTCTTGTGAGTACAAACATAAGCTTTATAAGTATGATTTTTAGGGTGATGTTTTAGGAGATTTTGCAAAAGAAGAGCGCCAAGAGATATATATGTAATTTCTCTTATGTCATGTGCTGCTAATGGACCATTAATAATATATTATTACAGGTTATTGAAACATGCTTTTAAATGATATAGCAACCCAAATCTGAATGCAGTATTTTGTGTAAATAGCCATAATGCATTATGAGAGAAAATGTGAATGGATGTTTTTAAATAATAAAACAGGTACTTAAAAGTCACAGTTTAGCTTCCTAAAATAAGACATGATTTAAAACTGAATACAGTGTTGATTCATAGTTTTTCTTGTTATTTTTTCAGCCTACAGCTAGTATTACGAAGTTAATGAAATACATACTTCCAGATCTCCTGAGATATTGGCTCCTGCAAGAATGCCAGTGGCAGCTGGGAAAAAGATGGCAAACACCGAGAAAAATCCTTCTCCACTTCTGAAATCTGGTCCAAAGTTTTCTGCAAATATTGATGCTGCAAATAGAGGTGAAAATGAAGCATACCACCAGGATTTGATTCCAAAGTTACTTAATGAAAGAGGTGAATAAGCTAGTCTTTCACGTCTGGACGACTGGGTTTGAATCTGTCTCATATCATAAGCAAAGTGAATTTGATTTCCTTAGTCTGGTCCCCAGTAGGATGTGCTTGTCTGCATCTCAGAGCTACAGATCCATATTGAAGTGACAGGAGTGTCACTGCAGCACTTGCACTTAGCTCTGTGTAAAAGTTTGTTTGTGCTCTGCTGATATATAAATGACTCAAGCTGCAGGTAACTGTGCTGTCAGCATCAGCAGCAGACAGACAGACTCAAAATTAAAGATGAAATAAATTCCCATGGTTTGCAAGCTTACTTAAACTCAGGCAGAAGATCCTGATCTTGTGACCTTTTTCAGTGGAATCCTTAATTCAGTATGAAGCCAAAAAGAATGCAGACTATTTTCTGATAGGTAGCAAAGTTACTTGCCTTCGTAATTAAAAAAGCCTCTTGCCTTCTTTTCGTTGTTGGTAGGAATAACTGTCCCAATAAAGAAGTTTGCAATAGCAACAAGGAGAACAATTAGAAGAATAACTTGAGCCTATTAATAGAAACAAAAAGATTTTCCTGATTATTTTAATTTGCATTGACTGTGGACATGGCTATATAGTAAGTTATCTGTATGTGTTCCCTATGACAGATTACTAATTTATGTAATTCTTGAAAATGCCAGACATCAAGATAGCTGAATCAGCTAATGATGACAGCAGATAGATTTTACGAAGGGGGTTATGAAAGATATAGTTATAATTTAATTTTATGTTAGTTTCTTTACAAGAAAAGGGAAACCAAACCAGCTAATACATTAATATCAAGTATAAGACATTTTTATATTGTTATAAAATTTGTTTAGTTGCAGTGGGTTGTCACTTCAAGGGTTATAACAACTAATTGTTTTTCTGATCTCTTTTACAAGTAGTTCTAGTCTCCATCACAGCAGAATGTAAAAATAAGGGTGCTATTCTGGACATGATTTCGATAGCTGTATTCCACCCTCTAAAGTATTTCCATTTGAATTTCCATTTTGAACTTCTTTTTACAGGTGAAAGAATAGCAGAAATCATTAGAGATTAAGGAATGGATAGGAAATAGAGCTCTTCTGCTGAGTAGGGCTTGAGAGAGTACAGTGGTAAAACCATACATTGTTTTTACTACTATTTATTCTGTCAAGCTCCATCAAAAATAAGGGCAAAAGGGGCACTTACCTAAGGCTCTAAATGATGCAATGAATTATAAAAATCAATATAATCAAGCTGCCTGCAGACCACAAACTTCCTCTTCCCTCTTAAATGTGTGTTAAAGGAAGAGCATAGCGTAATTGTGCTTTCATTGAATGTAACGATTAAACTGCTATTGCTTTTAGAAAGATTTAACGTAAACTGAAACCGAGTGCTTTCGAAAATTCCAACTGTTGTTTAGCACTCCTCACACACAAATGCTGTACACTAGTCTAATATACTGCTTGCTTTTATGTTCTTTTAAAGGTTTACCTTTGCTTCCCATTCCATGCCAGCAACAGAGATGCCGAGAAGACATACAACAGTTATGGTACCTATTATTCTGATGTCATTGGACTCATCTACCATCAGTGTATCACTCTCCTGAAAGCAGTAAGAAATGTTATTAGAAACAGTCTTTCTCTGCCCAACTGGAGGGATCAGGTAACAAGGTGAAATAGAAAGCAGTGAGCTGTCAAAGTTTCAGAGATTTGTGAGACCAAGTGTTTGTATTTCATATTCCAGCTGGCTCGATGTAGTTGGGGTTATTTGGCTGTCTAATTAGATGTCTTTTCCTTTTCTGATTTTGGGATTCTTGTTGAGAAATGTATAAAATATATTCATGAGGCAGAAATAATGGAGCACTCTATGGCATGTTTAGACAGACCATCTTATTCCCTGCTAAAGATATCCCTCAAGCCTCAGCTGAAAGTTATCACCACTTAAGCAAATATATTATTAAAAAAAGTCAAACAAAAAACCCCAAACCAAACAAAAAAAACCCACAAAACAAACAAAAAAACCCAAAACAATTTAATCATATACATGAAACATCTACATTTACCTTAAGAAGTTCTACAACTGTTTCAGCAAATCCAACTACATACATAGCAACTGCCACTGCATTTGCAAAAGCAAAGATAAGTCCTATGGATCCACCAAACTCTGGGCCTAGACTTCTTGAAATAAGATAGTATGCTCCACCTGCAGACAGAAATGATAGTTATTTCAGCACAACTATGCTCAGGTTTTGCTCGTTTTTTCTCACATAAATAATATCGCAGGAATCTCTGCTTTTAGCCTAACAAACATAATTACTATTTGCCCTATATTAGTAGAGGAAACTGATAAAAAAAGGAGTGTGCTTTGTACTGGTTCTGCCTTCAGACTTTTCTGTATGCTTTCTGTTGCATAAATCTTTTTAGGGCATATTAGCATGCAAAACTGGACCTTCAAATAATTTTTCATGATACATAATGCAGTAACACAGAGCAGAAAGAACCTCACTTCCAGACAGGTTCTAACTTACTTGGATCTATGCCAATGTTAGCATGAAAGATCATATTCTGTGGTACATCGTTAAAGCTCCCGCATAGTGATGGAGTGAATCTTTAAATGGAGCATATTACTTTGTCAGTTAATTATTTCATCTCATCTCACTGGCACTTAATATTTATTATCAGGAAGTGTTTGAGATTATATACATTCTAATTTACTGTTGATCCATTGAGAGAGATCACTCTAAATATATTTATTTATTATTGCTTTGCTTATAACACAGTTGTCTCAATTCCATTTTTTTTCTAATCCAAATCTGCAGATTTTTGTATTTTTCATGAGATCATATTTACTTACCTCCTCTTACTACTCCATTAGTGCAAATGGCAGACATGGAGATACCTGTTAATGTTGTTACTACTACACTCAGACCAATAACTATGATTCCAAGACCTGAAAGATCCGAAAAAGAAAGTATATGCAAGTGTACTCAAATACCTGTTCTGCTTAAATGACGTAGTAAGAACTTGCCATTTTCCACAGAGGTTAGAGCAGACCAGTTATAACTTTAAGGCTCTGAAATGCACTAAAATTTTCTTTCATAAAATACCTGACATGCACTTTTCCAGCAAAATTGTTTAGTCATCTTCCAAGGAGTGGCTGAAATGTAAGGAGTTTTATAAAGAAGGTATTAAATTGAAGGTATCTGCTGATCCCCATCAGTCTGTAAAATGAGAGGAAGAGATGCCTCATGCTCAGTTTGTCCAAGGATGTCCAACCTGGAATGTTCTGAATAAGAAAGACCTGCTGAAAGGTAATAGAAGTCCATGAAAAGCCAGAAGACATCCCTCGCTCAGCAGTAGGCAGGAATATCTGAAACGTACTTCACAGACTGAACTGAAATCTGGGATTTATTAAAAGCAACAATTCAAACACGCCATGAATTGTCATTAGAGGTGGCTAGAATTGTTACCTTCCAGTTCCTTTAGATGTACCATTTGGTTTATCGTCCCTCTGGTTTGCCTCATGTGAAAATAATACATAGACACCTTTTAGGGCTTGAAAGCATTAGTAACCCTAAGATTTTTACCTCCACGGACAAACCCATTAGTTGCTATTGCAGAAGTTGACAACCCAGTAATTGAGGTTACCATCGTGGCGAGAAGAATTATGATTACTCCAAGACCTGTCAGTAATAAGAAGATAAAATATTTCACTCGTGTTCCATGATTCCTACAAATCATTCTCTCTTTAAATTGAATTTTCAGGCTAGAATCAAAGCAATAAACTGAAAAGATGGTTTGTTGACCACTTGCAGTTTGCAGAACATTTCCAAGGAGTCTGTGTCATGGTAGTAAATTATTCCCATCAGTTTCCAAGCAGTGATTCTTTCTGATAGGAGTACCCTAGCCAGAAGCTCTCACGATTTTCAAAGGCTGGAGGAAATGAGCAGACACGTGTCCCTTGAGATGCTTATATCTGCCTTTAGTATAGGTCCTGGCTGTTCAAGTGAAGAGATCGACACATTAACCAGAGCTCTTCTAAGCATGCTGCTGCTTTCATCAGTTAATTAAATATTGAATCAGAGAAAGACTGACTGTATAGTTTCATAGTGCACCAGGACAAAGAGTCTATCAGGTAGAGAGACAAGACCTGAGTGTGAGCCTTCTATATCCTTACTTGCCAAGCTATCAAGTGCTGCGCTTCCCCACTCTCTCCTCATCTCCCTC